GAAGACCTCAAGCTCATCCATGCGATCATGCATTCGGCCCCAATCAATTGGGCAAAGTTTGTCATGATCAACATGACGATCGCCGCGTCCACCGACCACGATCACCTCCTCCCGTACCCGTTTTTGGTGATGGACATCCTTGAACGGTTCAAGGTAACCACCACCGTTGGCCCGCTCACGAAGGCCACGAAGATTTGGACAATCAGCAACCAAACCTTCCTCAAGCGGTCGGACAACGCCGCGGCTGCCACTGCCGAGCCACGCCGCACTGCCCCTACCGCTGGCCCAGCCGAACCCCAGGCCCGGGCCAACCTTGCCTCCATCGCCGACTCCCTCAACCGGCTCCACCTCAAAGTTGACGGGATGGGTGGCTACCTTGAACGGCTCGACGTGGCTGTTCAACGCCAAGGATACGCGATGAACTCGTACTTCCAAGGCATCAACTACGTCCCCCCACCGTACCACGGCACGTTCTTTGGGCAAGTGTATGGTGACGAAGACGAAGCCGATGACTCCTACGCCCCGTCAAGCTCCCCGGATGAAGACGAGTTCGACGATGCCATCGATGGGGATGAGATGGACGTCGATGACGACGAGGAGGAAACCGAAGACGAAGACTAGGACTCCCCTAGAATTTCTATCTCTTTTACTTTAATTATTCTTTTTTTTACTGCTTCCGTTGTACTCCGCTATTTCCCTTTATTAAATAAAATCATTTCGTTTATCTTTTTGTTAATGTCAAAAGGGGGAAGAAAAGGGCTATGCATATACTAAGGGGGAACGTCTCTATAAATGAGACCGTTTGATTTTAATCCAAGTAAATCTTTTTTTAAGCACAAATTAAGGGGGAACTTTTTTTTCACAACTTTTGAAAAACAAAAATCCCTTAGTATGCATATCCCCGTCTTGTTTGCCATTATCAAAAAGGGGGAAATTGTTGGAACACAAGTTTACGCCTACGTCGTACTAAACTGTGTTTGTTTCTATGACAGGTTTTGATAATGCCAAACCGCCGTGACATAACAAGGCTAAAGAGAACAAAAACCAAGTTGGCATTGGTTTTTGGCGTTGGTTTTTGGCATTGGTTTTTGGCGTTCGAACCAACCAAGTGTTTTTCAACTTTTTATGACTGATTTTTACTTCTGGGCATATTTAAATAGTTCTCCAACAAAAACGCCTCGAAAACCACCTCCCGTTTTTGGTCGTTGAGTGAAAACCATGCGAAACGGCGCGAACTTGGCTAGCCGTGGTTTTCAACTAAATGATGTGGTTTTTAAGGTGTTTTACTTGATTTCTTAGCAAATTGTAATAAAAAAATGTTTTCTAAACTTGGTTTTTATTTTGGAGAACTTGCGTTTTTGACATCGGCTAACGGCGTGACTAAACCAACCATGGGTCTGGCTAAATCAGCCCAACAGCGATGTTGAGGTAATCAACAGCGCTGTCTGGCCTGGGTAGCTAAAAACATGGTTTGGCGTTAAGTCTTCCAACAGCGATGTTGGACACTAGACATTTCTGTTGAGCCAAGGTTGGATTTCCAGAAACTTCTGGAACAGCGATGTAGGCTTCCCTACAGCGCTGTCCAACCTAAGCCAAAAATATAGTGCATTGGCAGAAAGTTTTTGGACAACGATGTTGACCCAGCAGCAGCGCTGTCAGGCCAAAGTTCCATCTCCAAAGGCAGACCTAAACAGCGATGTTCTAGTATAGAACATCGATGTAGAGACCTGACCGTTGGAAGGAATTTAAGGCTAAAACTTTCCTTGTTTGGAAGTCAACAGCCAAAACAGCGATGTAGGGATTTTAGACATCGCTGTTGGCATGACCGTTGCTTCCCATTTTTCAAACCGCAAGCCTAGAACAGCGATGTCCAGGCCTAGGACAGCGCTGTCTGGGTGATTTTCAACTGATCCAAATTTCATCANAAACACATTGACATTAGGCATCATTTCATTAGAGATCATGTTCTCAAAGGTGATGTCGAAATTGAGTTTGTTGAAACACACAACCAATTAGCCGACATTTTCACAAAACCTTTAGAGAAAGAGTCGTTCTTCCGCATTCGAAGTGAACTCGGAATCCTTGACTCCACGATGATCTAAGTTTTGAATCTAAATTTATTAAACACTTACTAACTTGAGCGTCGGAGAACTTTTTCTTTTTTGCAGGTACTCCGTTCATGAAATCAGGGGGAACCATGCAAACAGCGCTGTCCAGGAGACACAACAGCGCTGTTGAGGGAAACACCGCCAACCAGAAAGTTTTCCAACAGCGCTGTCCATCAAGCCAACAGCGCTGTTGAACATCGATGTTCTCTTTTAAACATCGCTGTCTTCCCAAAACTTTTTTTCAACCAAAACCAGAAACTTTTTAAACAGCGATGTCTTACCTACAACATCGATGTCCACTTTTACAAATTTTTTTTCCCTCTATCGCAAAACAGCGATGTAGAAAAACCCAACAGCGCTGTTCAAATGGGTTCAAACCCTTACACAATTCCAGAAACTTTTGGAACATCGCTGTAGGGTACTCAACATCGCTGTCCTTTTGACTCTTGTTTTTTTAAAACTTGACGCAGAACAGCGCTGTACAAGGAACAACAGCGCTGTCCCAACAGCGATGTCGCCTGTAGAACATCGCTGTTCTGGTCAAAATTTTTCAAAAAAAATACCCGTTGGGCACTGAATTAAATGCTCCAACTGCCAGATTTTCGAATTTTTGAACGTTGGAAACCTAATCCTATATATATTTGGCCTCCTACTTACCCTCTTCTCACATCCAAACTCAATCTTCTTCAATCTCCTTGCATATTTTATCCTCTCTAACACCTTTTTTTGAGTTTTCTTCATCACCATGGGCAAAGACAAAAGCAGGGCTGCTACCTCCGGGAAATCAAAGTCTAAATCATGGGCACCGTCCACAACCTCCGAGGAACGCCTCTACTACGGCGATGGGTCGTATCTCTGGTTCGATTCCGAGGAGGAGCGCACCCGATTCCTCACCTTTTTCTCTAAACGGGTTGTGGCTCCCCCACGGATCATTCCGGAGCGCTACCCGGAGTTGCAAGGCTACGACGACCTCGACGCGCAGCTTCATCAAGCCGGCCTTTGGCCGTTCGTAGTAGAGGCGTTCCTCGGAGGCTACGACGGCCCATGATTTACGACCCATCGCCGTAGTAGAGGCGTTCCTCGGAGGTTGTGGACGGTGCCCATCAAGCCGGCCTTTGGCCGTTCGTCTCCCGGGCACGAAAGGAGATCAACCCGGCGCTGATCCGGGCCTTCTACTCCAACCTCCGGCGTGAGGACGACGTGCTCTACTCGCTCGTCAAGAGCACGCCGATCGAGCTCACCGTTGAGCAGCTTGGGCGCATCACCGGCATCCCCTTCCAAGGCGACGATGTGTCTCACTATGGTGGAGAGGATTGGGTGCTCAACAATGAGGGCCTTATCCTCAACGAGCTTGGCATCACCGAGCTCAAACGCCATGCCTCGGGCCGCCCAACCATCCACTCCGCCAAACCCGAAGGCCGCCTCGTCCTCTACATCGTCTCCCGGATCATCAAACCGAGGAAGCACGGCCACACTATCATGCACGGTGAAGACCTCAAGCTCATCCATGCGATCATGCATTCGGCCCCAATCAATTGGGCAAAGTTTGTCATGATCAACATGACGATTGCAGCGTCCACCGAGCACGACCATCTCCTCCCCTCCCCGTTTTTGGTGATGGACATCCTTGAACGGTTCAAGGTAACCACCACCGTTGGCCCGCTCACGAAGGCCACGAAGATTTGGACAATCAGCAACCAAACCTTCCTCAAGCGGTCGGACAACGCCGCGGCTGCCACTGCCGAGCCACGCCGCACTGCCCCTACCGCTGGCCCAGCCGAACCCCAGGCCCGGGCCAACCTTGCCTCCATCGCCGACTCCCTCAACCGGCTCCACCTCAAAGTTGACGGGATGGGTGGCTACCTTGAACGGCTCGACGTGGCTGTTCAACGCCAAGGATACGCGATGAACTCGTACTTCCAAGGCATCAACTACGTCCCCCCACCGTACCACGGCACGTTCTTTGGGCAAGTGTATGGTGACGAAGACGAAGCCGATGACTCCTACGCCCCGTCAAGCTCCCCGGATGAAGACGAGTTCGACGATGCCATCGATGGGGATGAGATGGACGTCGA